ACCGTCTTATCCACCTATGTTGCCTCTTTCGGGAATCTATGGACCTGCTCAGACCACTCTGTATGTCAATGGTCTGAAGGGTTCTGCCATTTATTGTATAATTTGCACCTGAATTTGATTTTCCAAAATGCATCACCTCAAGTTTGTTAGGATAAAACTCCATCTGCCATTTCTCTGGCCAAATCTGCAATCTATCTATATCCTGCTGTACCCTTGACAATCCTTCTCACAGTCTGCAATTCCATTAATTATGGTGTCATCCGCAAACTCGCTAATCAGGTTGTCTTACCTGTTATACTTCTTGCATTGAAGCAAATACAGTCCAAGCCTTCAGTTCCACTGGGCTCAGGAACCTCTCCCTGACTGCTCCTCCTCACACACAAACATGTGCTCATATACAAACAAGCACGCATGCTCAAATGCGCGCACATACAGAAAAACTCAAAGAGACACACATAGAGACACAAAGATGTGCACACGCCCACATATATATGCATAACTACACACACTCTTGAACATGCATACCCTCATACGCACACAAAGATGCATATACACACCCAGAGATACACATACCCCTCACAGATATAAACATACACACGCAGGTACATATACACACACAGAGATACACATATCCACATAGAAATTCACATATCGATACATGATAATACTTAGATATTGATATACTTACGCACTGAAATATTCATACATGATAATTAAAACTCACCTTCATAATGTAGTCTTCACCCTTTAATAAATAGTTCCTGCCTCCCATGTTGAAAGAAATGTGAGGCAATAGATGGATTTTGTCACAGTTCACGATGTACTACATGTGAAATGAAAAAGGCAGTGATCAGAACAACAAAAATAGGCCAATCATAATATCAAAAATTGGTGCCCCTTTTTCAAAGTTTGTTACTTGTATCCCAGTTCTGATTATAGCAAATCAAAATGCTTAAATGTCTAATCTCCCTTTAGCAAAATTTAATATCCACTTCTCCAAATAATTTCAATCATCCGACTTTTGGATTGATCTCAACCTGGTTCTCTTTATCCTCCATTAATTAAGAAATCAGTACATCACCAATTTAAGTGCAGCAACAGTGGGTGAAAATCTATTGTACAAATTATCACAGTGTCAAGGATGATGCTTATGACGACAATCTACGTATAGATCTTTTAAATTCAGGAGGTTTGGTTCAGCTGACATGACAAACAAATGCCGCTACTCCTGTAATAATATAAATTACAAAAAGGAATTGTGGTTGCTGAAGACATGAAACAAGAACAGAAATGATTGGAGAAACTCAGCAGGTCTGGAAACAACTGTGGAGAGAAGATAGAGTTGGTGTTTTGAGCCTGGTCACCAAACTTGGAATGTTAACTCTGTTTCTTTCTTCACAGACGCTGCCAAGTTTCCTCCAACAATTTCTGTTCCCCATTCCTAAATTGACATATCCACTTTCTGTTGTCATCAAGACCAGGAGTGGTACTACAGAATGTCTGGCTCAGATGTGGAAATGACAGACACTGCACCATAACAGTGCCTCATCTGCAAGCTAACAATGGTTGAGTCTTAAATATCATTATTCAAGTTGTTCTGGTGTCCTTAGTTTGTGATTAAGGTCCTCTAATTCTTCTCAGGTTCAATACAAAGATAGTTTTACAAGTTGTCTCTCATCTATTCTCTTCTCACATTACAAAGCTCCCTGTTGTTGCTCCCTGTCTTTGTAGCTTATTACTGTAAGACTCATACCGCTCAAGCTGCTGCTGTTTGGAGTACAGGCCACAAGAGGCTCCAAAACATATGCCCTGCAAGGTCAGCAGTTATTCAGAGTTAACATGTCAAATTGGATTGGCCACTACAAAAGCCACAGGCCCACATGAAAACTACTGACGATGCAGCTAGGGAGCTGCTGCCTTTTATGTGAACACCCTGCACTTTGCGGGAAATCTTAGGTGGCACTGGTGGCCTGGATGACCACACAAGCAGGCGGTTCCTGCGACCAGTGAAACTTGAGCTCCAGGCTTCGGGGGCTGCTGCAGTGTGCAGTCACGAGGCTGAGAGGGTCATAGATAGCCCGTTTCAGGGTTTGGTCAGCATACACCTTAAGGAAGTATAGGCTTCTGGAAGTGGGTTACAGCTGGATGAGGGGAGGGCTCCAGGCAGCTAGTGAGGGAATTTCCTGGTGCAAAACATTTTGTGGCATTGGAAAATGCCAAGAGTGATGGTTCCCATGTGAGGTCAGCTAGAGTCAAGACCATGGCACTATGGATGGCCCATCTGCTCGAGGTGGTAGAAAGAAGTGTGAAAGGGCAATAGTGGCAGGGAGTTCATTAGTGAGGGGAGTAGGCAGCTGATTCTGTGCCTGTAGATGTGATACTAAGATGGTATATCGCCTTCTGGGTGCCATTGATGGAAGCAAGGCAGGAGATATCACAAGCTCTGGCAGGAATTTTCAAATCCTCTCTGGTGAAAGAAAAAGAAGGAAGAGGGTATGCTACAATGAAGACATAGGAGTTATAGGGGTTGAGTGAATGGGCAAAAACTTGGTAAATGGAGTAATATAGGTAAATGTGAGGTCATTATATTAATGGAGAGAAACTCCAAGTAAAGTGTAGCTCAGCGGGATCTAGTTCTTGTGCATAAAACACAAACTGTTAGCAGGCAAATGCAGCAAGTAATTATGAAAGGAAATGGAATTTTGTTTTTTATTGTTAGGAGGTTGGAGTTTAAAAATAGGGAAGGCTTGTTACAATTGTAAAGGGTGTTGCTGAGGCCACATGTGGAGTACGATGTACAGTTCTGGTCCCAATATTTAAGAAAGAATGGCATTGGAGACAGTTTGAGGGAGATTCGTTAGGCTGATTCCCAGGATGAAGGGGTTGGCTTATTGAGAATAGTTAAACAGATTAGGCATTTATTCATTGGAATTTAGAAGAATGGAAGGTGATCTTATTGAAATATACAAATTTCTGAGGGGACTTGACAGGGCAGATGTTCAGAAGATATTTACACTAGTGGGAGAATCTAGAACAGGGAGCACTGTTATGAAATAAGGGGACACTCATTTAAAGCTAACAGTCATATTAAGAATAACCCTTTGTAAATATCTCTCCTCAATTCTTTGACATTAGTCAATACCTTATTTACATTATTGTATAGTCATGATCTCACCCTTCCCTTTCCATCTAGCCTTATTAGCATACCTATTATTTCTTCCTACTTTTGCCTAAAAATCATTGCTCTTTGCCTTAACTACTCCATATGATAACGCTCAGTAGTAGGTATTAAGAGAAGCACAGACTCTAGACCTGCCTCTGTCACTGGCTCAGTGATTGATTGAACCACTGGGGGAATGTACCCATTGGTTCTTGATAAGCTCTGCAAGAACAAATTGTGTGATGTCACCCACCAAAAGGACAAAACGTTCAAAAGTACACATTCTCTTCTTTAAACTGCTTAAGGGCCAATAAATGTGTCTGTGCCCTGGGAAATAAACAAATAACATCATATATTATTTAAGGAGAGGCTTCAATTACAGCTCAGTAAACTGGTCTCTCCATTTGCAGCTACTTGGACAACACAGCAGTAACAAAGGTGATGGACTTTATATGAACATGAGGGGATGGAAGTGCTTCTCTAGGGAAATTTTAAAAAATCGATAGACATTTTAAATGAAGGCATCTTCTAAGATTAGTCTTATATACGTTACAAAGAAAATAATTAGAAAAACAGGCCATTCAGCCCAACTGGTTCATGCTGGTACTTATGCTCTACACAAGCCTCCTCCCATCTCTACCTCATCTTCGCCTATTGTGATGAAAGGTATATCACTCATACATAGTCCAGGTTATAGTCCAACAGGTTCATTTAAAATCGCAAGCTTTCGGAGCACTGCTCCTTCGCCAGGTGAACTAGACTCTCCACTTGCACCTTCATCAGGTGAAGGAGCAGAGCTTCAAAAGCTAGTGATTTTATATGAACCTGTTGGACTGTAACCTGATGTCGTGTGATTTCTGACTTTGTCGACTCCAGTTCAACACCGGCACCTCCACCTCTTGGCTGCCATTTATACATAGATTTGGAATTTGGATTTTAAAATATAGTCAGCTGTGTGCTGGTTTCTATGGAGATGGTTTTTTTTTAAAAGACAAGGTCAGGGAGCGAGCAGGTCTGGCAACATCTTTGGGAAGAAAGCAAAGTTAACATTTTAGAGTCAAATGAGTCTTCATCCGAACTGATAGCACCTTGGAAAAATTGGTATTTATGGTGATGATGAGGTAGTGGAAGGGGTCACGAAGAGAGAGGTGAGCAGATAGGTGGAGATCGAGCCCAGAGAGACTGGTTTCAGTTCAAGCTCGAAGAACAGAATCTCATTTTCTGCTTGGAGATCCTGCAGCCTTTAGTACTCAATATCGAGTTCAATAACTTCACAGCCTAATCCTATCTTTCTATTTTTTTTTACCCATTCTCACACCTGATCCTGTTATGACATGATTTTAGCACAGTCTCTCATTCCTACGTATTCTGAAGCCCATTATCACACTCCATGATTTACTTTAGCACAGATTACTCACTTCCTCTACCCTCAACTCTCATTACCACTTGTTCAGCTTCTGTCCTGTCCTGGCCTGCCATCCATAATCCTCTCATTTACCTGTCTATTTCACATATCTCTGTCTCTCAGGGCTCTGTTTCTACCTTTCCACTCACGTCTCTCTCCCCTCCCGCCCCCACCCCCCCTTCCCAACCTTGCCTTCAGCAGAATTAACAAGTTTTCTAGGCTGCTATCAGTTCTGAAGAAGGGGCACTGGACTCGAAATGTTAACTCTGGTTTCTTCCCACAGATGCTGGCAGGCCTGCTGAGATTCGCCAGCAATTTCATTGTTTTGTATTATTGAGGTCAGAGAGTCCTTCCAGAACAGGGAATAAATCCAGCATTTGTCAGAAAGCAGGCCAATCATAGAGAAGATCACAGAATCCCTAACAGTGCAGTAACAGGCCCTTCAGCCCAACAAGTCCACACTGACCCTCACAGCATCCCACCCAGACCCATCGCCCTGTAACCCAGCTAATCTGCACATCCCTGAACACTACGGGCAAATTAGCTTGGCCAATCCACCTACCCTGCACATCTTTGGACTGTGGGAGGAAACCGGAGCACCCGGAGGAAATCCACACAGACACAGGGAGAATGTGCAAACTCCACACAGACAGTCGCCCGAGGGTGGAATCGAACCTGGGTCCCTGGCACTGTGAGGCAGCAGTGATAACCACTGAGCCAACTTGCCGCCCCCTGTAGTGTTAATGGAAATATGGCTATGCTGTTGAGTTAAAATCAGGTAGGGTAAACATTTAGGGCCATAAACTTTGTTTCCCCTTAAGAAAAATCTAGGATTGAGTAAGTTTTTAATGCAGTTTGGAAAACAGCAGGGTTGAGTTCAGAAGAAAGTTTATTTTTCCCTCCCAGAAGGGGTTCAGGACAATTAAAGAACCAGATACCTCAGCAGAAGTGTTTAGTTTGTGAAACATCCAAACCAGGTGACTTTGGTTACAAATCTGCAGATATTAGAACTGAGAAAGTTTATGTTCTCAAGTTTGTGAGAAATTCGTATTGCTGACTTCGAAATAACTCACTAGTCCATGGCACAGAACCTATAAAGAGACTGTTAAGTAGAAACTTAAAGAGTTGAGGTGAGGTATAATTTCTCTGAGTTGAAGTCTATGTAACAGATAATGGGTTGAACCTTTGTTTAACAGTGCATTTTAAGATCATTATAACTGTTGTTTATGATTAAATAGCTTGCATTTTCTATTGTCCT